GCCCAGGGAAGCTCCAAGGGCCTGGGTCAGCATTGTAGCAGGTTACCAGTGGAGCTGTACTTGGAACCAGTTTTATTCTGACCCCAATAAACTTTTTTCTTGACAAATGGTTGAAGCTTCATTGGTTAAAGATGAGGACTGACTGAGATAAAGTATAGATGGTGCATACAAAAACAGAAAGAAATTGAAATCTTATTAGCTATTATTATGAATTTTTAAATCTGATCTAAAAAATGGTTGAGCATTTTTAATGTGAATCTTTTAAATAACGTTTCTTCTTCTGAAAATTAATTTCCATGAAGCAACCCATTCTTGGGTGCTAAAACATCACTTCTTCAGAAAGGTTCTCCCTGATCACCCTGTTGAAAACAGTGCCTCTTTCTTTTACTTTCTATCTCCTTACCTTGGTTTAATACGTCTAGAAACCTATCACCATATGAAGTTATATATCAGTTCAATTCAATTCAGATGCACAGTCATGTCCACCTCTTTGTGACCCCATGGACTGCAGCACTCCAGGCTTCCCTGTCCATCGCCAACTTTCAGAGCTCGCTCTAACTCATGTCCTTCGAGTCAGTGATGCCATCCAACCACCTCATTCTCTGTCGTCCCCTTCTCCTCCTGCCATCAATGTTTTCCAGCTTCAGTTCTTTGCATCAGGCGGCCAAAGTATTGGGGCTTCATCTTCAGCATCAGTCCTTCCAATGAATATTCAGGACTGATATCCTTTAAGATTGACTGGTTGGATCTCCTTGCAGTCCAAGGGACTCTCAAAAGTGTTGTCCAACACCACAGTTCAAAAGCATCAATTCTTCGGTGCTCAGCTTTCCTTATAGTCCAACTCTCACATGCATACATGACTACTGGAAAAATCATAGCTTTGACTAGATGGACCTTTGTTGGCAAAGTGATGTCTCTGCTTTTCAATATGCTGTCTAGGTTGATCATAGGTTTTCTTCCAAAGAACCAGCATCTTTTAATTTCATGGCTGCAGTTAGCATCTGCAGTGATTTTGGGAGCCCAAGAAAATAAAGTCTGTCACTGTTTCCATTGTTTCCCCATCTATTTGCCATGAAGGGATGGGACCAGATGCCATGATCTTAGTTTTCTGAACGTTGAGCTTTAAGTCAACTTTTTTACTCTCCTCCTTCACATTCATCAAGAGGCTCTTTAGTTTTTCTTCACTTTCTGCCATAAGGGTGGTGTCATCTGCATATCTGAGGTTATTGATATTTCNCCCCCTCCCACCTCCCTCCCCATCCCATCCCTCTGGGTCATCCCAGTGCACCAGCCCTGAGCTCTTGTCTCATGCATTGAACCGGGACTGGCGGTCTATTTCACATATGGTAATATACATGTTTCAATGCTATTCTCTCAAATCATCCCACCCTCACCTTCTCCCACAGAAGCCAAAAGTCTGTTTTTTACATCTAACATAAGCAGTCTTATCACACGGTTTCAATGTCACTGTTACTGACATGGCAGATAGACATTAGAACACCTTCCTGAATCTTCCCATTTACTTTCTATGTTCTTTAAAAGGACCTGGACAATTAGCTCTGATGATCAAGCAAAAACTTAAGTGTAAACAAAATTTAGATAACAGCTTAGATTGAGATGGGAAAAGAATAGCATTTGACATCTTAGTTTTGATTTGATCTAATTTCTTTAAATGATCATTTTAATTCCATTCTGTTAAAGCAAGGTTTCTAAGAGAGGTGGAGAAGTAGATGAGATTGTAGGAAGGCTGATGATTGAAGATTTAGAGAAAATAGTATTTCCTCAGCACTACCACCACTACTACATCTCCTGAAACTTGAAAAATAAAAATAGGGGGACTTCCCTCATGGTCAGTGGTTAAGACTTTGCCTTCCAATGCAGCAGGTGCACCAGTTCGATCCCTGGTCAGGAAACTAGATCCCACATGCCTCATGGGCCAAAAAACCAAAACAGAAACAATACTGCAACAAATTCAGTAAAGACTTTAAAAATGGTCCACACCAAACAAAATCTTTTTTAAAAATCCCTCAAATAAAATGCTGTGCAATTGACATTTTCTTTAACATTCTTTCAACTATTTTTACTTTCACCCCTAGTGGATTCCTAGATGTTAAAACAGCCCTAGCAAGCAGATCAAAGGAAATGAGAATATAAGGGGACATGTTCATTGTGCCAGTTCCCTCTTATGATGGTATGTGTGTTACGCACGAATTAGAAACCTCCCCCCTCCATCCTGTGTTAGGATGTCTCAAGACTGAGTCCTTGGCCCTCTTCCCTCTTCCCCAGGCAATGTCACCCACTTCCACAGCTTTAAATGCCACGAATGTGATGGCTGAAGTTGGTATTTCCAGCTCTGCCCTCCTGATCACCTGGCCTCTCTGTCCAACTACTTGCTGGACATTATCGCCCAGGTGCCTAGTGGCATCTCAAATTCACCATGAACAAAACCCAACTCTTGTTTTCTTCTCTCCAGACCTTACCCCTAACAGATCTTCATCTAAATGGCATCACCAGTTCTCAGACCCCAAACCTAGGCATGCTTGATTAGCTTGATTCGTCCATCTCATCCTCACCAGAAAAGGATCCACCATAAAGCTTGTGAAGTTTCATCTGCCATGCCTTCCACATGCATAGGACACTTGCAAGGCACCAGATTTTATGTTTGGGTTTTCATTTTTCTTGCAGAGGATCCTCAACTTGTATATATTTTGGGTCCCATTAAACTTGGATCTGCCTCTGCACCCTACCTCCTGCCCTATTTCGTAAGAAAAGTATTCCAAGTTAGCCGGAACAGGTCAATTAGGAGAGCATTAGACTGAAAAGTATTCCAAGCCATCACCGTCTCTGACCTTGAGTACAACAATGACCTCCTAATGTTCCCCAGCTTCCTCACTTCCCTCTACATAGCAGCCAGAACAATCTTTTGAAACTGTTTTCCAGTCGTACCCCTTACTTAACCCACTGGCTTCCCGTTCCACTTAAGATAAGTCACAGCACTGAACCATCACAATGCCTGTGGTCATCTGGTCCTTGCTTAGCTCCCAGTCCTTTCTCTGCGCAGCTGGCTCCCCTCTAGCTGCACCCTTCTTTCCTTGCTGGAACACACCATAGTCTTTTTTACCTCAAGGCTTTTGTACTTGCCCTTTCCCTGGCTTAAGGGAATTTTCCCCATTTCTTCCCTTGTCTCCTCATCATTCAAGTCTCAGCTCAAACGTCACCTCCCCTCAGAAGACTGTGTCCTTTGGGTGGAGATTCAGCTCCAGCCCAGTCATTCTTGATCCCATTATCCCCTTCTTTTCACTTGTCACAATAAGAAACTATCTACTCAGTTTTCTTTATTGTCTGACTTCTTTCAAAATATTATGTACTCCGTGAAGGTTCACTTGCACACCACTGAATCCCCACAGCCTGGCAGTACCTACTGCAGAGAAGGTTGCCATAAAGCATTTGCTAAGTAAATGCACAAGTGAAATGTGTGTTAAATAAATACTAATATAGTAAAATATGCTATGAAGAGGTACTATACATAGTTAGTAGGATGGAGGAATATGAACTTTTCATGAAGTTTTTTTTCACTTCTTCCTTGTTAACTGTAGACTGGTAAAAACCTATCCTTCCAGTGGATACAAATTTGAGATGTGAATTGATGTCACAATTAATACTCCACTCTGTACAACATCATAATATGTGAGCTAAAATGTATATGTCATTGTGTCCAAACTGTAAGATACTTGCCATAAGTAGCAAGCAAATGGAGAAGAAAATATACAGACTGAATCTCATCTGAATCTCCCCATTCTTCTTTCCCCCAGATATTGGTTCAGGAGTGCTCAGGTTTGAGGGTTATAAATGTTATCCATATATTCTGAACAGTTACATATATTGTGAAAAAAAATGAAAGAAAAAAATCAGTGAGATCTGTGTCAATTTCCTTCAGCTCTCTCTCTAAGGAAAAGCATTTTTAAAGTATCTGCTTTATTGAGATATAACTCATATACCGTTAAGTTCAGTCTTTCAAAGTGTACAGCTGAGTGTTTAGTATATTTACAAAAGTTTCACATCCATCACCACAATCACATTCCAGAACATTTCACTCCCCCAAAGAAATCTCATACCCATCACCAGTCACTCCACGTCCCCTCCCCTCCTCTCTTACTCAGCCCTCCACCTCCAGGCTCCTGGCAACCACTAGTCCACTTTTCGCCTCTCTGAATTTGCTGATTCTGGAAATTTCATAACCATGTAACCAAAAAATATGTGACTTTTAACATTAGGTTTCTTTCACTGATAATGTTTTAAAGGTTCTTCCATGTTGTACACTGTGTCAGTATTTCATTTTTTTTAATTGCCAAATAATATCTCATTGTGTAGACGAGCAACATTTTATCTATTCATCAGTTGATGGACATTTGGATTGTTAATTCTTTTTGGCTATTATGAATAATGTTGCTATGACCATTCACATACAAGTTTTGTGTAGATATACGTTTCCATTTCTCTCAAGGATATACTTCAGTAGAATTGCTGAATCATATATTATAGTTTTAGCTCCCACATTTAGATCTGTGCTTCATTTTGAGGTCTACACACTGTGCAAGATAGCAGTCCAGCTTCATTCTTTTCCTGTGGATATCATGCAAAAGATAATATCAAGTTGTACCAGCAATCTTTGTTAAAAAAAGAGTGTTCTTTCACATTGAGTGGTCTTGGCACCTGTATATGTCAGCATTCTCCAGAGAACCATTAGCATACATTATAGAGAGATTTATCTTAAGGAATTAGCTACCATGATTGTCAGGCCAGGCCTGTCTGAAATCGTAGGGCAGGCCAACAGGTGGAAATTCAGATAAAAGTTGATTTTGTAATCTAGAGCCTGAACTTTGCAGAGCAAGCTAGCAAGTTTTCCTATGTTGCCGTCTTGAAGCAGAATTGCTTCTTCTTCTGCAAACATGCCTTTGCTAACAAGGCCTTCCACTGTTTGAATGAGACCCACTCACCTATTGAGGGTAATCTGCTTTACTTAGATCAACTATTATAAATGTTACTCACATCCACAATACCTTCCCAGCAACATCTAGACTAGGGTTTGACCAAACAACTGGGCTTCATAGCCTAGTCAAGTTGAAACATCACAGCACCCTTGTCAAAAATTAACTGACCGCAAATGTATCATATATTTCTAGATTCTCCATGCAATTTCATTGATCTATATACGCCTATCCTTATGTCAGTACTGCTGTGGTTTGATTATTGTAGCTTTATGGTAAGCTTTACAATCAAGGTGTGAGTCCTCCAACTTTTGTTCAAGATGTTTTGGCTATTTTGTAGTCTCTTGCAACTCATATGAATTTTAGGACCAGCTTGTCCTTTTCTGAAAAAGAAAAAAAAAAAGAAGTTGAAATTTTAAAAGTTACTGTCTTAAATCGAATTTGAGGAATACTGCCATCTTAATATTAAGTCTTCAATTCATGCACATGGATTGTCTTTCCATTTATTTAGCTCTTCATAAATTTCTTTTAGCTATGTTTTATAATTTTCAGTGTACAACTCTTACTCTTTCGTTAAATTTGTTCCTGAGTATATTATTTTTGATGCTGTTATTCAGCATCAAATGGGATTTCCTTAATTGTTTTGATTAATCATTGCTAGTTTATAGCAATGTAATTGATCTTTCTATATTGACCTTGTGTCCTGCAACCTCACTGAGTTCTAATAGCATTTTTGTGGATTCATCTGGATTTTTTTCCATACAAGATCATGTCATATACGCATCTCCAGTACAATGAAAAATAGAAACGATGAGAATGGACATTCTTATCTTATTCTTGATGTCAGGGAGAAAGCATTGATTTTTCTACCCAGTAAGCATGATATTAGCTGTGGGGTTTTCATCAATGGATATTATCAGTTTAATGATGTTTATTTCTTTTCCTAGTTTGTTGAGTGTTTTTTATTTTGAAAGGGTGTGGGATTCTGTCAAAGGCTTTTTCTGCATCATTGAGATGACAATGTGATCTTTTTACTTCATTCTATTACTATGATATATTACATTGATTGATTTCCTTATGTTATACCAACCTGGCATTCCTGGGATAAACTCACTTGGTAATAGTATATAATCTCATTCATATGTTGCTGGATTTACTTTCTTTGGATTTTGTTGAGAATTTTCGCATCAATATTTATATTGGTAAGTGGTTCTCCTGAGCTATCTGTCTTTAGTTTTGATATCAGATTAACATTAGCCTCATAGAATAAGTAAGTGTTCACTACACTCCTGTTTTTTGAGTTTCAGAAGGACTGGAGCTAACTCTTCTTTGAATGTTTGGTAGAATTTACAGCTAGTACTGGAATTCTGTGAAAAGTTTTTTTAAATTATTAATTCAATCTCTTTTCATTTTTTTTCTTTTTATCAATCTCTTTTCTATTCAGATTTTCTATTTCTTCTTGAATTCACTTTCAAAGTTGAGATTTTCCTAAGAATTTCTTCATTTTATTTAGGTTATTTAATTTGCTAGCGTATGATTCCTCATAGTATTCCCTTATAATTCTTTTTTATTTCTGAAAGGTTAATAGTGATCCCCTCTTGTCTTATTTTATTTTGGGGGGCTGTGCCATGAGGACTGGGGGATCTTAGTTCCCTGACCAGGGGCTAAACCTGGGCCACTGCAGTGGAAGCGCTAAGTCCTAACCACTGTACCACAAAGGAATTCCCTCCTTTTTTATTTCTAATTTTAGTAACTTGAATCTTCTTTTCTTGGTCAACCAAGCCCAAGGTTTGTCAATTTTTTGACTTTTCAAAGAATAACAACTTTTTTCCATATTGTTTTTTTATTCTCTATTTCATTTATTTCCTTTCTTTTTATTTCTTCTTCTTACTTTGGGTTTAGTTTGCCCTTCTTCTAGTTTCAGAGGAATTAGATTATTGATTGGAGATCTCTCTTCCTTTTTAATAAAGATCCTTACAACTCTGAATTTTTCTATGAGAATTGTTTCCACTGTATCCCCCAAGTTTTGGTATCTTATGTTTTCATTTTCCTCTATCTCGGCACTTTCTAATTTCCCTTGTGACCTCTTCTTCAAGCCACTTGTTATTTAGGAGTGGGATGATTAATTTCTACTTATTTGTGAATTTCCTTTGTTCTTGATCTCTAATATCATTTTACTGTGGATGGAGAACATACTTCACATGACTCCAATCCTTTTAAACCCACCAAAGCTTGTTTTATGGTCTAACGTTTGATCAATCCTGGAGAATGTTCCCCATGCACTTGAGAAGAATGTGTATTCTGCTGTCATTGGATGGAGTGCTACAATAGATGTCTGTTAGGTCTTCTATTTGTTGTTGCTTTTCTGCCTAGTGGTCCTATTCGTTATTCAAAGTAGAAATTGAAGTCTCCAACTATTTTATTGAATTTCTCTCTTCAGTTCATTAAAGCTTTACTTCATATATTTTGGGGCTCTATGGATAGGTACATATGTTTATAATCATTAAGTCTTCTGGCTGATTGACACTTTTATCACATTAAAATGTCCTTCTTTGTCCCTGATAACAATTTCATTTTAAAATCTATTTTCTCTAACATTAATATAGCCATTTCAGCCCTCTTTTGGATATTGTTTGCATGTATATCTTTTTCTATTCTTTTACTCTTAAGCTATTTGTGTTCTAAGGAACAACATTAAACTTAAACACTAAACTATCGTGCTAAGTATATTTTTGTCTCAGGTATTAGAATGCAGCAAATGATGGTTTTAAAATCCATTTACCATATTTAAATGAAAATAATATCTGAATAATAAAAGATAGTCTTCCACCTCCACCCCCCCGCCCCCCATCTCTTAACCAGTCCTTGATTTAACCCATAACAGTTTATTCCACAGGATTAAATCTGGAGTCTCACTTACCTTCTAAAGGTTCACCAATCCATTTATTGTCAAACCAGCAGGGAAAGGAGATTCCTTGGCAAGGAACACTGTTCAGAAAGTACTGTACCATGTCTCCAAATCCCTGAGAATCAAGTCCGGGAAACTGGAAGCAACGGAGAGCACTATAAGGTAACTGGTGTTCATTTGAGTTCCTAAATCTAAGTGAACAAAGTACTCTGGACACCTGAGTTAGTTCTATTATTATATTCTCTGGGAAAGCACTGTCCAATAAAAATATAATGTGAACAAATGCAAATAACATATGTAAATTTTAAAGTTTCTAGTAGCCACATATTATTAAACAGAAAAAAAAAGCCAAATTTATTTACTTATTATTTAGCTAATAACTATAGTTTATTAATACACATATTTCATTTAACCCAATATAATATCATTTCTACACATGACTAATACACGATGATTATTCTCTGTTGTTGTTCAATACTAAGTCATGTCCAACTCTTTGCAACCCCATGGACTACAGCACACCTGTAGTCCTGTCTTTCATTATCTCCCAGAGTTTTTCTCAAATTCATGGTATTCTTAATTTCCTACTGAGTCCCTGAAATTTACACTTAAAGCACAACTTAATGAAATCTAGCCACTTTTCAGATGATTAACAGCCATAGTCACTAATGGCTACCACATTGGACAGCGCAACAGTAGTATTTAAAGCTGAAAATTAGCCTTGAAATCCTCTATGATAACCAAATCAAACCTAAAATTTTTTTCTTAACCACAATTATTATCCATTGCTTATATAATAGGAGCATAAAAATATAATAACCTAACAGGTGGTACAATCAGAATTAAATTTACAAAATTTGGAGGTTCCAATCTGCATTGGTTCAACAGACTGCATGGAACAACAGACTGGTTCCAAATCAGGAAAGGAGTACGTCAAGGCTGTATATTGTCACCATGCTTATTTAACTTATATGCAGAGTATATCACGTGAAATGCCGGGCTGGATGAAGCACAAGCTGGAATCAAGATTGCCAGGAGGAATATCAATAACCTCAGATATGCAGATGACACCACCCTTATGGCAGAAAGCGAAAACTAAAGAGTTTCTTGATGAAAGTGAAAGAGGAGAGTGAAAAGGTTGGCTTAAAACTCAACATTCAGAAAACTAAGATCATGGCATCTAGTCGAATCATTTCATGGCAAATAGATGGGGCAACAATGGAAACAGTGACAGACTTTATTTTGGGGGGCTTCAAAATCACTGCAGATGGTGACTGCAGCCATAAAATTAAAAGATACTTGCTCCTTGGAAGAAAAGCTGTGACCAACCTAGACAGCATATTAAAAAGCAGAGACATTACTTTGCCAACAAAGATCCATCTAATCAAAGATATGGTTTTTTCAGTAGTCATGTATGGATGTGAGAGTTGGACTATAAAGAAAGCTGAGCACCGAAGAATTGATGCTTTAAACTGTGGTGTTGAAGAAGACTCTTGAGAGTCCCTTGGACAGCAAGGAGATCAGACCAGTCTAGCTAAAGGAAATCAGTCCTGAATATTCATTGGAAAGACTGATGCTGAAGCTGAAACTCCAATACTTTGGCCACCTGATGCGAAGAGCTGACTCATTTGAAAAGACCCTGATGCTGGGAAACATTGAAGACTGGAGAAGGGGACAACAAAGGATGAGATGGTTGGATGGCATCACCGACTCAATGGACATGAGTTTGAGTAAACTCTGGGAGCTGGTGATGGACAGGGAAGCCTGGCGTCCATGGGGTCACAAAGAGTCGGATATGACTGAGCGACTGAACTGGCTGAATCTGCATTGGTAACAATTTCTAAGATTTATTAAGCATTTGCTCTGTGCCAGGCACTATGACAAGTATTTTAAAACATGGTGAAAGTTACTTCTGTTATCTCGATTTCAGGAAGAGGAAACTGGGGCTAAGAAAAGTTAATTAACTTGGGCAAGATCAAGCAGCGTGTAAGTTGTGAAGTCTCTTTCTGGCTGGCTCTGGAGCCTGTAAGCCTAGCCTCCAAATTCTACTGCCTCCCTAAAATGAATCAACCACCTGCAGACGTACAGTGAATTTCATATATAAAGCTATGAGAGAGAGTCCAAATTTCCCCTGTGTGTGTTCAATTCAGCAATTTGCTGAGGGCCTATTGTGTTCAGTGCCCTTGGGAATCAGGTTTCACTCACCCCTGGCTGGCATGCTCTGACTGAAACTGACTGCTTCAGAGAGGGGCTTGAACATTTTGATAAAAAGCAGCAGAAGAAATGTGCACTGTTCAGCATTTTTTATTTTCAGTAAATAGCTCTTCAATAGCTCTCAACTTTTTCTGCTTGCTCTCATCTAGGCAATTGATAACATCAGTAATGGAAAGAGTTAGAAATCTTATTTATCAGCCAAGTGTCTACTAACTATTCTTTGATTCATCCACATGCTATTTTAATTCGTATAATTGAAAGACTAATACAAACAATATTTTATACACACAGAAATGTGATTACACATTTATATCATATGTAGCTTTAAAAGTAATTGTTTAAGGCCTGTTTATTATTTAATACCCAAATCCATCTAACTAATGATGGCTGCAACTGCCAAGTAAATATGATACAGATGCCACACTTTGTACATTTACAAATGTTATCCTAGCTTTTACAACACTCCTGTGAATAAGTATTACTCCCATTTTACAGATGAGGAAACATAGCCAACTTTTTTTTATTATGTTATGTTATTATGTTAGCTATTAATAAAATACAAACATCTGTAAACAATATCATCACCTTAAACCTGTGTACAGTAACAGATGATAATACTTCCATTTACATCATCCAAACTGACTCTTATAATAAGTTGTGATACAGAAAGCCCCTGTGCTTACAACTACCAGGATAGGTAACTGAGGTTCTTTTGGAGTCCTGTGGCAACTTTAAAAAAATTACCAATTGTTCATTCAGGAGAATCTTATTTTCTTTACATTCAGCACCTAATGAACCAAAAATGACAGAAGACCAAATTCTACCACAGCTGACAGGAGCTTTCACAGAAGTTGTATAAGCTTCATTTGTCCAGCCTCCTGCCATTTCTAGGACAGGCCTGTCCACGTGGGAGCCCAGGAAACCAAGGGCAGCAGCCAGAGAGGACTCTGAGGCTCCCCTTTGCCTCCTGTAGCTTGAGAAACAGACTGATGGCCAGTCAGTGCAACGCCTTCTCACAAACTTCAAATATCCTCAACTACCTAGATGTCAGGTTCCAGCTGACAGAAACTTGCAGCTTTCCATTTTTCCCACCTCACCGTCTTTTACAGGGAGTTGTAAAGGCCCTAAGCAACTATGCCTCCAGAATTTAATAGAGGTCTGGAGAATTCTAGACTATACAGTCCATGGGGTTGCAAAGTCAGACACGACTGAGCAACTTTCACTTTCACTAAGACAATAAGCATCAAGAGCTGGCAGTTTTCCCAGTTAATCAGCCCAAAGCAATGCCAACCAATTGGGAGTAAGACTCAAAAAGTTTTCTGCTTCTCCATTTCATTCCATTATAATGTTAGAACTTTTTTGATTAGTAATATCATACCTTATCAACCATTATTATTCCTTTTTATAGATGAGACATTGAGCTTTAAAGACATTAAGTGCTCACTGAACTTCACATGACTAGTAAGAGGCTAAAGACCCAAACCCGTTCAACTGAAGTTCAAGGTTCTTTACCTTAAACCATCTAATCTTCTTGGGAAATAAATCTCTATTCTTGTGGACTGCCTTTATACAATGTCTGAGCTATTTTCTTATGGGGAGATAATACTCAAAAAACAAACTGTATTATCTCCATGGGAAACTGGTTCCAGTGCACTAAATTCCTAGAAAGCTGAGCATTACAAACTCTTCTAAGGTGGCAGGCAGTCCTGCTGCTGAGAGGACAAGTAGGTCCTGCAATCTATCCACCTAGTAGGTTTTCTAGACGCCAAAACTGGTTTCAACTGTTAGGATATATGTCACCTACCCCAGGGTTATAGGAATTTCTCCCATTTGGGAATCTCCTTATTCATTACCCTTAATAATCTTCTCCTTCTCTTTTGATTAGATACTTACAATATTAAAATAAAGATGGGCTGTCATCCCATATTCTAGCAGTTGATGTCACCACTAATAATAACTTGTGTTGTTTCTAGCCTGAAATAATTTTATGCTTTTTTGCCTCATCAAACTTCCTATTTTGACAAATCTGTAGACTTAGATTGTGGTTTAGTCACTCAGTAACGTCCAACTCTTTGCAATCCCATGGACTGTAGCCCACCAGGCTCCTCTATCCATGGGATTCTTCAGGCAAGAATACTGGAGTGGGTTGCCATTTCCTTCTCCAGGGGATCTTCCCGACCCAGGGATCAAACCCACATCACCTGCATCTCCTGCACTGGCAGGTGGATTCTTTACTGCTGAGCCACTAAGGGAGCCCTAGGCTTAGGTTGGAATTTCTATTATTTGGGAGTTATTAAATATATGTAATCTACAGAGTCATTGCCTATAAACACACATACTACAGCAGGTGTTAGATCAGGCCATACTCTGAGCAAGCCTGTAGGTAATTCACTTACTTCATAGGTAACCTAGTCATTAAAAGTGATTGTTGTAATATGTAATTCCCCAAATCCTAATAAACCTTGGGTGAGGTTATTAAGCCTCCTCAGAATCCAGACATGTCCACTGCAAAAAACAAAACCCAAAACCTACCCCAAATTAATGTACACAGTGGTTTGTCTTTGAAGAAATAACATGTTGTAAGAATGACAAATTGTCACATCTAAGAAACATCAATTGTACAAAGCTAGGTTGGCAATCTTCTTATAGACAACACCATCACAGTTAGAGATAAAACTTTCTAAGGGAGTTTTCTCCATGAATCAATCAGAATTATTTAAAAAATATCTTGGCCAGCAATCATAGTTTCATGTGGATCCCTGGCAGCTCAGCTGATAAAAGAATCTGACTGCAAAGTGTGACACCTGGGTTGGGAAGGTCCCCTGGAAGAGGGCATGGCAACCCCTCCTGTTTTCTTGTCTGGTGGGCTACAGTGCATGGATTCACAAAGAGTCAGGCACAACTGAGCAACTAAACACAGCA